TTTAACCACGGTTCCATCTCGGCGTTCTCCGACTGACCCCCTGATTGCGCGAGGATCGCTGCTCGGGATCCACTTTCACCGTTCTGATTGAGGCAATATCGAAACGTGAGGGAGAGTAACCAGCGATTGTTGTATACAGTCTCAAACGTATACCTCCATTATATGTTCTTACGAAGTTTCAATCTTTTCGATTTGTAGTTCAATTAATTTATTCGATATGTATTACTAAGTCTTCATACGAGTATCACTTCGAGTAATTTATTCGATATTTATTAATAAATCTTTATCCACTATGAAGCACATGTTGCGTTCTTCATATTACTTTAACTTTAACTTTATTAACGGATAGAACCCTTTTTGCTACATGAATAATAGTAATTAATACAGTGCACCAGAATAACAAGAAATAAAATAAGACAGCAGAATAATAATAGCAATGAGGTAGATAAAAATCACAGGATAAAACATCGAAGTAATAACAGTAATAATAAGATAAGAAAAAACATAAAAATAATATTAATAATAACAAGAAACATGGAAAAGTAGAATAGTTGAGGTAAAGATCAGTCAAGGGAAGTAAAGAGGCAATAAGGAATGACGATATTAAGTATTGACATTTTTCACGATGCGTGTGTGTGTATGTTAGGTTCTATATTCCCCAAACTATTCCATATTTGTTAATAAATCTTTGTACAAACGATATCTCGAGTATAGACTTTAGCTACGATACGCTGATTCTGAGTAAGAGGAGAATAAGTAGTATAAGTACGTACTAGGCCAGACACGGTTCCTCGTTTTCATACAACGCATGGCTCGTTGCAAGATATGATTATACGAATGTACTATTAAAAATTCATTATAAATTCATTTTGAGATATGCACAAAACCTATACATGTGAATAAACAATTCCCATGTACTCCTATTCCCTCTCGTTGAATGAACGATTCCTATGTGGATCACGACACGCGCCAGTTTTGACAACAAGAAACATATTCGACCGGTTTCGTCATAAATGACTCACCATACGGCTGCCATAACTCTGCCGCTCAAGGATTTGTATCAAAATCGTACGACAGCCCGAACGTGCTAATATATTCATTATTCAAATTCAACGACGTACCGTGGCTCGGTCAATAGACCCCGGACACGCCATCGTTCTACGCCAACCCTGTGCAAGTGCACCGCGCAATCTTGACATTGCAAAAAAGACAGACGTGATTAGAATAAACGTGAACCAAAAGAAATGTACACTTTCGTTTTCTCGGGGACGACTCAATCGACCAGCTTTAACTGGATCACAGAAGAACTTCTGTAGAAATAAGTAATATTCTCACACGCCACGTCAGAACGCAATCATTATGAAATTTTAGTATAAGTGCATGAAATCGAGGGTCTAATGATTAACTGCCAGCTTTGCGATTCATTGTACGGAACGGTCGTGAAGAAAAGTGGAAAAATGACAGTTTCCGGTGGCAATGCGTCTCTATATTTCTTGCGATGACTCTGGCCTCTCGAGCCGTGTGCACGCACACACGCGTGCACGGTTCACCTCGGGCATCCTTTCGTACGGGAACCCCTCCGGTGGCGAGGCACGCGCGCGACACGCGGCCGCGTACGGCCAGCGGCGCATTTAACGCGCGATCGCTCTCGAGTGTCCGCGTGTACGAAGGGTGCCGCGACGGGGTGCTCTTCCACCCCTTCCTACGGTCGCACACGTCGACCGGTGGTACCTTCCGTCGCGGTCCACAGCGTCGGACGTCGAGGTGAGCTCGGAGTCGATTTCAGGGATCGTAGGGCGCGGGATTTATTGCGCGGACGTTACAGAATGTGCGATTCCTGATTTCTGAGGGAAATAACAGAAGTTTCTCGTGATATTTATCTGAGTCAGATTACTTTTTGGAAATCTCGATCTACGTTTCTTTCCTTAAATGCACGTGACGAAGTTTTATTTTATACGCATAAACGTCAGGTCATGAATTGTTGTTCGATGTACGAAATAATTTATTAAATATTTTAATTTATTAATGAGGCCATCGCTGAACTGTTTGAGAATGAATGGAATCTGTTGCACTTATATTGTTAGCTATTAGACGGAGTCACGCTTAACCGGATAAAGAGCAACGGCTTTGCTGGCCAATTTCAGCCTTCGAACGTCGATCGACACCCCACTGCGATTTTCATGGAGGGTAAAAGCTTTGGGGTGAAATTTTTGAAAAAGCTTAAGCCTGATGATTTTTATTATGAATGCGATCTCAAGAGACTAGATAGAGAATATACATATATAATAAATAATTTATGTATTATTTTTCTAACTCTAGAATAAATAAAATGAATGATGAAAGCAAGCTTGTAAACGTTGAGTTGAAAAATACGAATCTCTCTTAAAAATTGGCTGAACGACGTTTCGCATGGAGACTATTTGTTACGATTTCGATTAGGCCGTCTCGATAGCGTGAACCACGGTTATAAACAGTTCTAATGGGAGCTGTCGATGCGGCCGCGGCAGCCACTTCCAGTCTTCTTCGACACGAGTCGATTGCATCAATTTAAGGGGGCTCCCAACCCCAGCACGAAAATTGTGGGAAAAAAAAGGGTTCGGAAAACTAAAATTACTCTGATCTTCCGCTCGAGATACCATCCGCGTTTATCCAACAGCTGAACTACTGACCAATTTTCGTCAACGAATAAATTATGTGTATTTCATTTTTGCGCAACGATTGCTAAATAAAATGGTTCTGATTGACCATTCGTATTTGTTTTTTATATGATTATGATTAAAATTTATTTCAATCCTGTTAAAATTAAAACAACGAGAAGTATGACTTTAGACTGTATTGTAAAAAAATGAGCTTTCATTACTTCCTGTATACGTCAATTTATTATCGAGGAGAACGTTATTGTAGATTCCCGTGACGAGAACAGCGATATTCTTACTGGGTTGTACGGGATATCCTGGTGGCGTGAATCACGGATCTAAGCGGCCGAACGAGAGCCATCGATGTGGCCACGCACGCACCGTGACCACTTTCGACTTCGTTCGCCACCCCCGATTCTGTTCCGTGAACGGATTCGAAATCGATCATCTTAATGGGTTTTTAATCGGTCGTTTCACTTTGATGAAGTACTCTTCAGAGAAAGAAACAATTCTGAAAAAATTATTCCGTTCGTATCTGTCGCGTTTAATGTTTCAGTCAAGTGTTTCTAAATTATCAGGAATATTTCATATGTTGCTATGATCAAATGTATTAAAACAATTGTATATATTCTTATCGAAATTGTCATATGATTTATTATGCGACTGTATGATTTTATATTTTCGATTTTCTATTTCTATTTTATTGGATAGACTCACTAAAGAACATTTGTCAGATTTTTTTGATAACTTTTGAAATTAGTATTTGAACGAATCTTAAATGCACTGATTGAACTTGAACCTTTCTTTTTTATTTAACTATTGCACGAGGAAGTAAAAGCTTGACCACTCGGAAGATTTTCAGGGAACAAACTTAATGCACAATTCTTGATTAAAATCAGACAATTAATAATTCATTATAAACTAGACATCGGACAATAGACGATAAACGATAACTAGAAGATTCTCAAGTCTAGCTGAGTTGTTTTATACAAATGCCTTCTTTCATCGTATCGTACGTCGATAGATTTTTGTTATATTTTGAACGTATAATCCAACAACAACAATCGTATCTTAAAACTTCGACAGGGGAAGTGTATAAATAAAACGAACGTTTGGCAGATTTGAATTTTACGGAATTGAAAACTCGTTCGGTTAATCGGTAGAATTTCCACGGTCGTAAATGCAAAACATCCCGGCGGGCGTCCGTCGTGAATATAAAACAGGCAGCCGGTGGACAGTGGCTGGCGTGCGCGCTGCGAGCCGCGTTTCAACATCGTAAACTTTCTTTGTCAGAATTATAATTGCGGTAAATAATCAATTAATTAAGACAGCCTGATGCTCTCGCGGTGCAAAGCAGATTTTATGGAAATAACCACCGGTGGACATTATACCACGGCGGGCCAGAGAGACAACGGAGTAATTGCAACGAAATGCAAATTGCGTTAATAACGGGGTCATCGCGTAATTCTCCGGTGAACGCGGGTGTAATTATTATAATTTCCCCGGCGAAAATACCCGGCCCATTAAATGATATCAATTGACAGAGCAAATCTGGCCGCGCCATCGATCGCCGCCCAATGTGGCAAATTAAAACGTGATTTCTACCCCGTACGTTTACTGATTAAATATTACCTGCTAAATTTTCCAACCACGAATTTCCATAATCGTTCTTCTCCCGTTAACAGACTCGTCAAATTAACGTTACACCAGTTTTCAGAGGTAACTCGCGTAAAATGAGTACAGCATTTTTACGCCAAATGTACCGAGTATCTCGACGTTGCTGAAGAACGTTCGAATTTAAAGATCGAAGGGTGAATCATTTCATTTTTGCAAACATCATCAGACGTGTCTCTGATGAGAAAAAAGTTGAAAGAAGGACGAGAAACAAAGGGCGGTGAGCGAGAAGAAAAAGGTCGAAATGGGAACGTCCAGGGCGAAGAATAATGGGAACACCTTGGCCCGTTACTGCCAAAATTCCCTGACCATTCTCTCTCTAAACGGGCACCGTTACCACAGAGGGTTTGTTCCGGAAGGGAACCGGTGGCACGTCGTTACCGGGGCAAACTACGTCGTCGACAACGCCGGTCGGTAAGTGCAGGAGGTCCGGTACGTTCGAGCCCGGCCACCTAGCAACTTGCCTCGCGTCTCTCCTCGGGGTTGCAACCCTCTCGAGGCCTCTCTTCCTCGAGTAAACCCCGAAACGCGGCCTGTCCGCGCGCGCAGGCGTCCGTCCACCCCTCGACGGGGGTGTAAATCCGGCTAGAAGCTCCGCCCGTTCGAACGACTTGGCGAACCGACACCCGCGGTTGGTCGTCCTGGGACGAAAGTCGGGGGCGTGGACAGGGTGCACAACCCCTAACGGCGCCGCGACGCTCTCGGCGCTCCAGTGTGACACGGAGCGGGTCGCCAAGATGATCGGTGCCCTTATCGCGGAAACGATTCGTACACGACTCCCCGCGATCGCGATCCTCAATCTGCGCCAGTCGTTTCTGTGTTGAACGGTGTTAACAACGGTGACCGGTCGATTATTATGACTAAGTTCGTTTCGACGCCGGGTATCGACGCCGACTCGCTGGACGTTAGTGACGTGATCGGTTCCAACAGGTTTACCGTGTAGGCTAAGCAAGAGACAGCGGTCGCTGGCACACGGGGGTGGCCAACGCCGCGCGATGTTGGACCTAAAGAGCAGCGGGACCACCGCCGCTGAACTGCCTCGCACCACGGCGTTCACCAATCTGTCCATGCTGTTCGCCGGTACGTCCTCATACAGATTCTATAAACGGATCTTTTCACTCAGTGACGATCGTATCGTGCGCTAACCAAACGATAACGGCTTCTCCCCTTTGATTTTAACGCTTAGAATGACGTGAACGCTGGTCGAGGTTCGAACTTGTGACGCACGTGAATTCATTATTGTACGATGCGTATGAAAATCGGGACGAACGATCGTGAATAAAATTAAAGTTGAGTCTCTTCAAGGCCTCTTATTTTCTTTTATCTCGATCGTTTAACGTTCGTTTCGTCGGCAGAAATGATTAATTTATAAACAATTGTAATATGAAAGGATCACGAGCTTCCAAAGAATTATGTCCTTCGAACGAAGACGAGCGTTTCCTGCTTTCAACGGACGGGAAGAATCAAGAAGTGAACACACTAATTCCTCAGGAGTCGACACATTAGCGACGGTGATCCCCCATTTCGGGAACGTGAAATCCGAGGCCCTATTAATGGACCGTGGGCAGTAGATCAAACGGAGGGTCCAGTGAAAGACGAAAGGTCGGCCCGTTTCGTACACGGGGACGCTGCCTCGACTGTTTGCACAGAAAGACGGACTTTCCGCGAGCGGCATGACGTATGTACACACGGGTGGCACCCTCGTGCCAATAACTGCCAAATGAAAATATATCTGTCTGCAAACAGACCGGCGGCGTTCGAAACACCGCCGGAAGAATCGGGGATGAACCACGGTGCCTCTGAAACCAATACTCAACACGCTTCAGGGAAACAACGTAACAAACAGTGATTTAACTTCAACGAATTCTAACAATGACACAGAATTTTTCAACAGAAACTCTTCTGTTTTCGCTGTTTTAGAATTAAAATTATCGAAGAAAGACAGAGCTCTTGTTAATTAATATCGTGATTTGAAGAACTTCTATGATTGGAATTAATTTATAAGAAAGATGCGTTTTATTCTACTTTATATTATATCGATTTAAAACTTGTTCCATTTCTTGAAATATTTTCTTTCATTTTAACGAGAGTCAAGATTTACTTGAGTGTCTTTTAGTCGAGAATCGTGAGGTTTAATCAATCGACTGTAAATCGTGATTCGCCGGAGGGTCGTTAAGGGTGCTCGTAAAGATTTTTCCTAAGGGATTGTTTTTCAACGAAAGCGGCGATCAGATATAAATTTTACGAGCGGCAGCGATTCTTGGAACCGATTACCGTGCAATTGCAGACGGTATATGCACGTCTTCTAATATCGTGACCTAAAAAAAAACTATGGAGAGATTGTGCAATCTCGAGGGAAAGATCGCACAACACGTGCCCGCCTTGCATTTTAGCTAGCGTCAATAAGTAGAGCTTCGAGATTCGAGATTAATTCGATTTTTAAATATCCTTACCGTTTTTGTTGCAGATGCCAGCAGCTCGTACAAAGGAGGCTGGAGCCACGCCACGTCGCCGGCTCCCGGACAGGGTATGTTCTTTCAATATTTATAGATGTAAACCGCAGACTTTCCTACAGAAAGAAATATTTCAGATAATAATATGCATTTCATTCTCCACTCGGTTAGGTTTAAATCTGCCCATATTTTGTACAGACACAATTTTTCTATAGTAAACGCATGAAATCTGCAGTTTAAATCTTTGCAACGCAACCGTTGGAACAATTTCTTATAGTTTCTACAGACACGATTTCTTTATAAATACATAAAACGATATCTACGTGTAACGATCTCTGACTATGTAAAAGCTTTGGTAGAAAGCATCGGCAATAGGCATTCTCCCCTCGAACTAGCCTTGTAACGAGAAACACGAAAAAATGTAATCTGGGAACCGCGAAGGAGAAGTCGTGGCGAATCGATCCTCGTTGCCATCTTATCGGGGCACGGTGCTAGGATTCAAGCCTCTCCTTCTACCTTTAGATTCTCCTCGTTCTCGATTCGCTACATATATAGCCCCGACCAAAGGGTGGTCGGAGGCGCCGCCGGGTGCAAGTTCACGCGTCGCGACTCCCGGCTTGTTCCCGCGCCTTTGTGTGCGTCGTCTACGCTGTGTGTGTGCGCGCGTGGGTGGGTGTCCCGGCGCTTTGTGGCGCGTTGAACCGCGGCCCCTTTGTCGTTGGCAGAGGACGAGAGAGAGTTAGATAGATAGAGAGAGAGAACCGAGCCCCGGGGGCTGTGTAGAGACGCTTGGCCGCGCGGCAACACCGAGGCCCCACCCTGCGGACGGTCGCTGGCACAATCATCTCGCGGAGATCAGAAAGCCCTGCTCGCCCGCGGGCAGCTTGTTATAAACGGCTTCTGGACACCCGGCCAGGTTACAACGCCATGGATCACCTGGCAAAGAGCGAATTAACACTTTGACCACCGCCTACTCTCGCGGCTCCAAAGCGAAGAGGAACCGAGAGGTCCTTTGCCTCGCAACAAGTCGACGATTCGCTCTTTGTCGAAACTGACCCCGTTCTCATCTCGAAAACGATTTTTCGGACTTGTGGCTTGGATCGAAGGAAATTCTAATAAGCAAGGAAATTGTATTAAATAATTACAACGCCGACATTGCTCCAGTAACGTTGGCTCGTTTGGTAAAACCGACACATTTCGCGAAAATCAGTGAGGGCAAGAGAAAATTAACGCTTTGATTACCGCCTGCTCTCACGAATCGCGAGGAGAACTTGAGAGATCCTTTGCCTCATGCAAAGGCATTCACTTTTCTCTTTGTCGCAATTGACCCCGTTTACAAACGTAGTTTTTCAAACTCACGTTCAGTTTATATATTCTGACAATATCTGTAGATTTTCTACGTATCAATCAATAAGTTTGAGATATGCAGATTTCACATGTGTAAATGTAAGAAGATATACTGGCACTTGACGAGATGCAGGATTGTAGGAAGTTGTAACGAGCATAGTCGGTGTTGCATTAAATAATTCTAGTTACACGGGTTTGGCAATGTCGGCGCGTTTGATAGAACTGACACAATCATTTCGCGTACTCGAGGGATTTCACCCCGGGGTGGTTTGATGTAAACGGCTTGTGGTCTCGACGCCTCGTTAGATTGCAATCACCATGGATCAGTTATCAAAGAGGGAATTGATGGTCTCGTTCGCACGTGCGAATCGCACACGCTGCGTTTTCAAACGCAAACCGATGAACGAAGAACAAGGATACTGATATCAAAATTTCAATTATCTTCTAACTGTACAGAATAAGAATCTAAATTAATTCTAGAATGAGTTTTATCTAACGATTAGATATTCTGAAACATATCGATCACTTCTTGTCTTTCATCGTTCAGGCATCAGCGTTTAGCACAAACGTTGACGTTTCTCTGATTCAACCTCCTTTGACTCGGTTTACACGCGAGAAGAGCCACGAAGTTCATAAAATTACGCGACGACGCGTGCTGGCCCCGGGCCACTTTGCGGCTCGCGTGAAATTGAAATTACTAAGGGCGACCCTTTCGGTCCCAGGGGCCGAATTAACCCGCAGCTTCTGGCGAGCACCTCTTCGAACCTCGCGCGGGACACGATCAAACGATGTTAAACCGAGTATCACAACGTTGGGACAATGATGAACAGAGATTCGCTCGGCCATGAATTAACACGTACAAGATACATCCGCGAACGCGGTTATTCGAGCACAGCCATTAATGTTTCTCGCGTGTTACCGAATACTCGCCGCGGATTACGCTTGTACCTGCGCTATCGATGGAAACCGACTCCGCGTTCGCCACGCGAAATCGCGGACTCCAGAGATCAGAACCTATACTCACGTGCTTCTGTGATTAAAAGAAAAATGTGACGCATCTGATAAAACCGGGAGAAAAAATGTAGTATTTAATACAATCGTAACTTGATATCTGTAATTGATGTCGGATTTCTCTTTCCGCACGGCGAACAGTTCACAGGGACAGTGAGTTAAACACCTGTTCTTGAAACTCCATTAAACGAACCGCAAATTACCACTTCCCGTTGCTGTAAATCATTCTCAGGCATTTGGAAATTCGAAACTCGTATCTCCTTCGACGAGAACTTTTTAAGTACCAGATAAATGAAGTGTACGAAGGTTCAACGTACAACAACATAAATTATTATTTTATTCTTATTTTTAAAGATTCTTACGAAATATTTATTATAACTGTTCCAAGACTTTTTATAGCATTGATACTATTCCCTTATGAACGTGCGCTTAAAAATTTGGAGAAAGTTCTGGTGAGGTTCCGCGAAAGTAACAGCCGACCTCGAGGGTGAGCGAGGGTAAAAGGTTGGTTGGAGCACGGATATCGACCACCGTTTTCAACGGGTCTGCCCAGTGGCCAGGAAAAGCGACTCTAAGACAACTGGTAGAACAATAAAAGTGGTATATCTCCCCGTTTCCAGGTCCGCCGCGGGTGCGCTTCGCGTGACTTCCTGACCCGACCCTCGGCCACCCTCCGCCTACACACGCGTACACCTACGTTTCACGTGAGCGTGTATCAGCCCTGACTTCCCTATGATAATTACGTACTCCGGGACGGCGCGTGCCTTGGCAGTTCGCTCACGCGCCTGATCACGTATGCCGTGACTATCATATACCCCGACACCCCTTGGGTAACGACCCCTGGCCCGGATCTTACGGGGTAATAGCCGTTTGAAAAAGTGCAATCGAAAGTTACCGTGATTCGATCACAACTTCAAATCAGGGCTGATTTCGAACCAGTTAACCAGGCATTAAGTACCCCAGGCAGGCATAAGCCGTTCGAAATAAACAAATGACGTTCGATAACGAAATCCAACAGCATAGACGAAGTCACAGTTGCAACCATGATCGTTACAAACCTCATTAAAAGATTGCGTTCTAGATAGAAATTTCTTTGCTCATTCAAGGATTTACTTTCTATACTTCGTGCATTTTTTGCTTGTTCTAAAAACAATTTTAATCATGAACTGCATGGAAAATTGCTGTCTCAGAGAACCAAAACTAAACGACGTGTTCAGGCGTCAGGCTAAGTAGCATAAACGTAATTACAACGCAATAGTAGTTTCCACGTGGAAACAACAGGCTTTATCGTTCGGTTCACTGTTTTCTTTGCCGCGGTTCGTGCCCGGGGCAATATGTTTTTGTTCATCAGATAAGCTCCCGGCAAATCCCGTTCGCAGCGACGTGTTACGCGCCGCGAAATTAATCGTTTCCTAATTATCGCATAGCGTGAACGTGCGACACAGGAGAAAAAGGATGCTTGTCTCGTCGAAGGATCTTAACGCGTCGCGGATTTCCTTTTTGCGTGAAATCTCGTATCCGATTATGTAATAATATGCTTACTGGCGATGTTCAATTACTCACACAGACCCAGCCACCCTCGGAACCGATTTGTTCCTTAGAACGTCTCTATTTACGCGAATTTCAGTCGCAGCAATTGTTCAACGTGCATATCTGCGATTTTTACTAATCCAAATTTTTAGCTATATAGAATTACATTTACATTAAAATCCAGAATCGAATTGATTCGCTTTGCATTTTGCATTTTGAATTTCACACTTCGCAAAACTATCTCCATTGATTCATTGATATGAAATACATAATCGAAACTGTTGACTTGTACTGAACACTTTAGCAACTATTAAACTCGTTCTTTTGAACTCGAGACCCGGAAACGTAAACGGATCGTAGGAATGTTCGTAAGAACCGATACGATCACGAGGAGAGGTCCAGATTTAAGAAGCAAGGAGGCCGTGTACCGATTTGATACGTACGCACGGTTAAAGTGGAAACGTAAATCGGGCGCGCACCCCAACAAGGAATCCGAGATGAATACGGGCCGATATACCGAGACCGAGGGAGAGAGAGTGGAAACGCGGGCAGCGATGCGTGAACGTGTCACGCATAGGCACGTGGCCGCGTATGTACTAAGCGAGGAGGCATAATACGAGCGACTTGAACTGAACATGTCCCGCGAGAGACCCCTCCAATATGCTTCCGACGTTTCCTTCAACCATTTCCCCGTTCCGTTCGATTGTTGTATCGGCTAGAAGAATAATATCACCGTTCCGTGTCCTCGCACCCCTTCGGGCGATCTCTTCATCGACGAACATTCAGTTGTTAACCATTTATTCGACTCAGAGACGTGCCACTGTTCGTGACAAGAATTTGTTGATGCATCAGTGTTGCATTCGCTGGGAATGAATTCCACTATTTTTTAATCATTCTAACCGATCGATCCTCTCGACCACGGCGAATGATCGTCATAGTGTCGATACGCGATCTGCGAAGGGAACGAAGGAACGAAGAGGAAATCGTCGCATCGAAAATCGAACGCGGACGTGGCTCGTAATTCTATCAACGGGCATTGTTTACCGGGAGGTTCCTCGGCGCCCGTTTTTATCGTCGTAAATCTGGCGACATGAATGCGGTGGTCACGCGCCGTTTCCCGGTGACTTGTTGCCCACAATCCATGTCCCCCGGGTTTTCGTGGCCGTCGGCCACGGGCCTGTGAACGTAACCCGTGCCAGAACCCCGCTGGATCCGGCCCGGGTTCCCCGTACTTCCTGCCTTCCGGTCCACCCCTCGGCAAAAATTCACGACTCTCCGACGTTGTTACGTGAACTTCGTACTTATACACTTAATTCTACACGAAATACAAATTTCCAAATCAATTTTCACTCGACGTCGCACAGATTTCTTCCTAAAAAATCTGTTATAATTATCAATGTCATTCTTAATTTTTCTTGCAATTTTTTTGCCATCCTACAGGATAAAAATTCGCGGCTCTTAACATTCCTTCAGGGAAGTTGAACTTCCAAATCAATTTGTGTACAATATTATATCTTTACACGGTTTTAAATTCAATTTGTTACACGATACCGCACAGGATCACGTGTTTACACGGTATTGAAATGAATTCTTACATGATACTACACGGCATATTAATACTTTTATACTCGTGCCACTCGTTTCGCACGTTTAAAGGGTCGCGTGCTACGCTCGCTTGCTCATTATTACGCACCGCACGGTCACGGCGTGTGATTTATGCCCGAAATAGGCACCGGTGTGTGCATGACTCAGTGATACACCACTTAAAGGCCAAATCGTGGAGTGATGAATTGACTTATTGTCGGACGTAAATAAGAGAGGCGGGTGCCGGTGTTTTAACCTCGCTCAAACGCGATTAGACCGATCGTTTTGGCCCGTGTTCGCCACCCCTTCGTCGAGCGGATGTTGAGACAGTAAATCTTAAACGACATCGATTAGAATAGTTTTGATTGTAAAATCAGAAGGGAACTCCTATTCTAAAAATGAAGAATTTCATAAAATTTGTGCAACGAAGACGAAAAGAACTGAAAAATCTGTGAAGAATCGTAAAAGAATTCTGTTTACTTTGGAAATAGAGAAAATCTTTTCGCTTTCAAGGAGTGTAAGAAAGTTAGAGAATATTGAAATCAACCGAGGTTCATAAATTTTTCATAAAATCTATACATACAACCGTGTACGCGTGATCTTTAATTGTTTTCCCAAGAATTGGCACGATACACGTTGAGCTGAATGTAATCGCACGCTTGCCGGTGGAAACGCGAAAAATTCTGCGACTCGACACGAAACGGCAATCGTTTAATTGTGATTAATTGCGGTTTTATCAGGAAATGAAAGTACACTCGTTTACGCGACGCGACTTGCCGGTGAAACTTTTAACAGCGCGTTGCGTGTTCACGCACGTAAATATCGAGATCTATATTTTGCAGACTCCTCGAAGATCGTTTTATCGACCGACTGTTATAACTCATAGAATGATTATCGTTACGTCGATCGTTGCGCCAATTGTTACGTGAATTATTAATTCGATCGTGTCGCGTAAATTTTTATTATAATGTTCGTTGGCGAACGGGTTAGACGACAAAGACCGTGGAAAGTTAGATTTCGTATCTGAAACGAAACCGGAAGCTCGAGTAGCGAAGGGGGTCCGTTCTAAAAATAGCCCGACGTAATTGCACGAAGCTGCATATCGTTTGAGCGGAGGTATGCATTTGGAAGTTGCCCAAAGTTTTCGCGGAGTCTCGGAACCGTCGAGCGACTCCCCTTGTTGCGGGTGTAGCATTGTAAAGGACGCGACGATGGAGACAGGCAAAGAGTGCAGTAGCTCGGAATAGCTCGGGATCCTTTGATCCTCCCTCGAGGAAGCTAACGGGATTACCCCGCCCCGAGTAATTGCTCGTGAATGCGCAGATATACGCGCGACAATGGGAGCACGTCGGTTCGAGGTGACGTGACGTCTGACGTATGTACCCGTGTGTATGTGCACGATTTCGCTACTGACCTCCGAACTTTGTTACGTATTAAAGATGGGCGACCGGTGTCTAAGTTTACTTTCTATCCTCGTCTTAAAATGTTTGCTGTAATCGACTGTAAACCTTACTTATCTGTAATTATCATTTTTTTCTAAAAGTTCACTGCTTCAAATATTGGACACAGTTTGTTATTACATCTCAAACTTTTGGCAGAGACCTTACGGCTCATACAACGTTGACTTCTTTCATATCGTAGTTAAATAAAGTGTTATAGTCTGTTCAAACACAGATATCGATTGATTCAATGAACTCCATCAAATTGATATAAAACTCGATGAAGCAAGAGAATAAATATACTGTATTTTATATTAAACGTTTGAATTCTATAAAATACTAATCCTGTTTTGATGAATGCAAGAACGTATAGAGAAAACAGCTGGCAGAATGTATGCAAATAAGATATTAATGAACAGGTGGGATTTGCTGACACCAGCTGCATTCTCTTGCAACGTCGGTACACCGAAATAGGAAGTAAGCCACTGAGCATGGAACGATGCAATTTATATAATTCGTATTTTACCATATTAAGTAATACGTTTGATCCATATTACTCGTATTTTATTTTATTATACTGTATGTTATATCGTTTATATTTCTATCATTTCATATTCGTATGACCGACTAAATAAAAAGAAAAATTGCTTGTTCTCACCGTGTTTGAAAGGTCGAACGTAAGCCCCGCGGCTGCACTGATTGCGGCGGACCCCACGACCTGGACCCGAGGCGTCGCGTCCCTCGTCCAAGGCGTCCCAATCAGAAGCGAAATCAAATTGTTTAACACAGCGGACACCAACTGCTGTTTAGAAGGCAGCATCTGCCTTCTCGCACCATACAACGGCACGGCTGAAAAAAAATACCATGAAATCGATTAGAATTTAATCGAATGACTGAATCTATTAAAAGGACGTTTTCGACGAAATTAAGATCTGCATTGTTCTTATTATGAAAAGATCTCAAAAGATTATTGATCAAGGTTTTACATATTTATGGAAGAATTAAATGTGCAAAAATTATTCAAAGTACCTATGGTACGTTATAGAAGATTTATTTTAAAAGTCTGCAGTCTGATTATTGGAATACGGTTTGCGTCGTGCGTAATGGGGGAAAAAAGTAGATGTCGGGGAAATAGATGACAATTCTAATACCCTTTGGAAAGCGATTCGATATCGACCTTATCCGTGGCAATTCCCAGTCGATTGCCAGTTCCGTCGGTTTTCGGGGCAACGGGAAGACGAAACCGATAACGCGATACCGGACGACACGGTGGCGGGGATTTCCCGTAACGAGAGCATATAACGAGGCGAAATTAAGGGGCATTGTGCCTTAAACAGATTGCACGGTGGCGCGAACGTGACCGTTGTCCATGTTTCCCCGTTGCTACGTCCCGCCTCACACGTACGGACACATGTACGACAGAGACTGCTACCAGAGAGAGGCTGATAAGGCGTAGGAGAAGGCTACGGAGCCGTCGATGAAACGTGAAAGCGGGGAGAGATACGTATACGGACCACTCAGCCCCGTGTTTGCCTACACGGAAATCCTCTCTAACGGATTCGAACGCTCGACCGAGCTCGTACTTTTTTCATCTTCGACGAACCGACGATTTTTCGACCCCTCCACCCTTTCCGTCTCAAAGATTTCCTCGCCAGAAACGTTTGTCGCAATGCCGCCCGACAAACATCGTATTTGGTACGAGTACATCGGAAACCGTCTCGCAGTCTGATAAACTTCGTTACTACGACCAATCGCCATGCATCATACTTGCGACGAATGTATAAAAAAATTTATCGTAGTTCGATTAAAAAAATTGATCCATATTACTCGTATTTTATTTTATTATACTGTATGTTATATCGTTTATATTTCTATCATTTCATATTCGTATGACCGACTAAATAAAAAGAAAAATTGCTTGTTCTCACCGTGTTTGAAAGGTCGAACGTAAGCCCCGCGGCTGCACTGATTGCGGCGGACCCCACGACCTGGACCCGAGGCGTCGCGTCCCTCGTCCAAGGCGTCCCAATCAGAAGCGAAATCAAATTGTTTAACACAGCGGACACCAACTGCTGTTTAGAAGGCAGCATCTGCCTTCTCGCACCATACAACGGCACGGCTGAAAAAAAATACCATGAAATCGATTAGAATTTAATCGAATGACTGAATCTATTAAAAGGACGTTTTCGACGAAATTAAGATCTGCATTGTTCTTATTATGAAAAGATCTCAAAAGATTATTGATCAAGGTTTTACATATTTATGGAAGAATTAAATGTGCAAAAATTATTCAAAGTACCTATGGTACGTTATAGAAGATTTATTTTAAAAGTCTGCAGTCTGATTATTGGAATACGGTTTGCGTCGTGCGTAATGGGGGAAAAAAGTAGATGTCGGGGAAATAGATGACAATTCTAATACCCTTTGGAAAGCGATTCGATATCGACCTTATCCGTGGCAATTCCCAGTCGATTGCCAGTTCCGTCGGTTTTCGGGGCAACGGGAAGACGAAACCGATAACGCGATACCGGACGACACGGTGGCGGGGATTTCCCGTAACGAGAGCATATAACGAGGCGAAATTAAGGGGCATTGTGCCTTAAACAGATTGCACGGTGGCGCGAACGTGACCGTTGTCCATGTTTCCCCGTTGCTACGTCCCGCCTCACACGTACGGACACATGTACGACAGAGACTGCTACCAGAGAGAGGCTGATAAGGCGTAGGAGAAGGCTACGGAGCCGTCGATGAAACGTGAAAGCGGGGAGAGATACGTATACGGACCACTCAGCCCCGTGTTTGCCTACACGGAAATCCTCTCTAACGGATTCGAACGCTCGACCGAGCTCGTACTTTTTTCATCTTCGACGAACCGACGATTTTTCGACCCCTCCACCCTTTCCGTCTCAAAGATTTCCTCGCCAGAAACGTTTGTCGCAATGCCGCCCGACAAACATCGTATTTGGTACGAGTACATCGGAAACCGTCTCGCAGTCTGATAAACTTCGTTACTACGACCAATCGCCATGCATCATACTTGCGACGAATGTATAAAAAAATTTATCGTAGTTCGATTAAAAAAAATACAATTAGTTAATCTGATTTTCAATGCGTGATCTCTGTTTTGTTTCAGGATACGGAAGCAGCTTGTCGAAGTCGGCACTGGACACGCACACCCATCTCAGGCAGCCTGGTATGTAGTAGGTAGATATTTTTGAGAAGTTAAAGCTACACCTTTACGTCTACTACGAAGAACGCTCGTTCGAAATTGAAATAAAAAGATTCCACGCGTATACGTAATTAGAAAGGCGTGAGCGTTCACGCGTGATTAAATCGGCGGTGATTTTTCCCGGAGCAATTGCACGGAATGACCTTCGCGATTATTACGTTCGTCACTAATCACGCAAATCCCCTCGTTTCTGGCCTGACTTTTCAACGCCACGCCCAAGAATCACTCGGACTGATCAATAGCTTTAAATAAGTGCTCCCTATGCACCCCTCGGTATTAACAAGTGAACGATGACCTCTGACAATGAACCTAATCGAACTAAAGCTAATTACACTAGAATAAATTACACGTTCATAATGGATAGTATATGTATACGTCGTCATGTAGATTGCAGATTTTATGAAAACATGAAAAAAGTGAAACACATTATCGCATTTAAGAGGCCTTACCAGTGTGACCGCCAAAAATTTAATGGGAATTTTTTTCATTTTCTAAATTAACACGACAAATCTGCAGTCTAATGACGAACATCAGAATAGCATTCTCGTTCACGGTTGAAATTTCCCCGTGCCCGGATGCATTTGCATGAGTCGCAGAGGTGAATACAGAATGCGATGCAAATCCTGGTGGGACTTTTCGTTAAAGAACAGACAAACGACGGTGGATTCGTATGCAGTGAATCAAAAATCGAACGGGGTCAATAGTATCCGATTCTTTGCTTCATTGGACGACCGGAGTTGATAAAACGGAGTGATCCTGGAAGGAACGGTCGCGTTTCAGTATTTCTGTTGGCGTTTCCGGTGGCCGTCTCCCCGCTACCCGTTCACCAGATAAATGGGTGTACCGCGCCCCTTCCCATTATTAACTTGTAAGTGAATTACCGTTTCGATCGAAAGGCGATCACTCCGCCACGCATTTCAGGGGATTCATCGGGCGAAACGACCTTTGAGGTCCGGCGATTCACGAGCCGACCCCATAGCGTACGTCTGCACTCTCTCTCCCTCCCTGTAATAATCGGGGAAATGTATTTTTATGGGAGCCGAGCAGCGAGCCACCGATGTTTCTTTGATTCCTCGCTTGTCTCGATTCCTTCTAGGGACCGAACAATTCTACTGCAATTAGAAAACGATTGAGGAGAATCGATTAAAAAAAAATCTGCTTCACGAAGAAATAGAATCAAATCGATTGTAAAGACAGAAACACGCTGTTATCAAGTCGCGTTTAAGGATGTATTGACTTTACAGTCAATCCCAAAAGTTTATGTACCTTAGAAAAACGCATTTCCTATAATTAAAAAGAAATCAGACGTCGGAAGAATAATGCTAATAATAAATAGCTATGTGCTAAAAGTATAGAAGGAAATATCCAATTAAGTATTGACGCTGACGAAAATTTCTTTTTCTTCAAAATTGCGAAAAATGCTTCAAATAAAAGTTGTTTTTCTTCTAACTTCGATATTTAACGAGTTACGTATGATTATTTGGCATTTTATTGGCATTGACGAAATCCGACCATTCCACCGTCGAAACAGCGAACTTTTGGCAAAAAATTTCGTTTTTCCTTAATTACTCCTAAACCGTTGAATCTACGGAAAAATTGCATATGACCTTTCTTGTAGAGGACGACGAGATCTATAATTTCCATGTAAATTTTTTTCGCTAGCATTAATATTTAACGAGTTATTGATGAAAAACGAAAAAACGGTTTTTTGCAAATTACTCGTAAACTATTAACGCTAGCGAAAAAAATTTACATGGAAATTGTAGATCTCGTCGTCCTCTACAAGAAAGGTCATATGCAATTTTTCCGTAGGTCCAACGGTTTAAAAGTTATTGACAAAAAACGAAAATTTGGAAGAAATTGAAGGGGTACCCCTTGGAAAAATTTCGGAAAAATCGAAAATTTTTTTTTATTGTTTATTATTAGCAATGTTCTTCCGACGTCTGATTTCTTTTTAAAAAATGCGTTTCTAGAGTGCATAAACCTTTGGGATTGACTATATAGCCAATACATCCTTAATCGTATACGACATGATACAGAAAAATTTTCCTATCATTTACGATATCTTTCCAGGTTTGTTCTAGGCAATTAGAAAATCCCACTAAGAATTGCATTAGTAACCATAAAATTTACTGCTGCAATTATTGATTCTGATTGTACAATGCCGGACGGTGACGGAAGAAAGTTAAAACCTGTTCCATGCGACTCGATGATTTAAATTTAAGCACACGGCTGGGTCGTTCACGATGCTCAGTTTAACAGTGTTCGGTCTCTCAGAAGACATTCGTAGTACGCCCTCTGAACCACTCCGTCGTTCGTTCCTTCAATTGAAATTATTATGATCCAAACGAACTCTATTCTATTGTAGGGTTGCGATTATATCCTTTTGTACGAGCTGTAGGGCACTCCAGGTTTGAGCAGTACCGAACGACGGTGATGACGCATTGTAAGGCTTTTAAAGGGCGATACAGGGAGCACTGGGAAACAACCGTGTAATGGATAGGTATATGTTCCGGGAGAAATACCGTGAAACAAAAAGAAGAAATCCGCGGTCCGACTTAAGTGCAGAAATATTTTTCCGTTTCCAAAATTCCCCACGATTATACCCATCAGACTGCGGACTTTCATGCGGAATCGTATTTTGAGAAATGTAATACATTTCTGCAGACTTTTCATTTTTATAATTACATAATTTAAGATATATATTTACAATCTATAAATTCATTAAAATCCGCAGTCCAATCGTTGCACACAGAATATGATTATTGATTTGAATGTCTCATTGACTCTAACAAAAAGCGACAATTATTTTTGCAATAATTATTCTGTAATCAGAATTGCACTGCACGGTTCATTTTGATAAAAGCGACGATACTGAAGGTTCGAGTCGAGATAAGAGCGAGGCTCGAATTTGGTAAATGTTGCAGACCCCTATCAAATGTTCGGAGCGACGAGCAGTCGGCTCGCGAGTTCCGGTTCCGGCCAGATTCAGCTGTGGCAATTTTTACTCGAGCTACTGTCGGACTCGAGCAACGCCGCGTGCATCACGTGGGAAGGAACCAACGGCGAATTTAAGCTGACTGACCCCGACGAGGTGGCGAGACGTTGGGGCGAGAGGAAGTCCAAGCCTAACATGAATTATGACAAATTGTCAAGGGCCTTGAGGTAAGTGACGCTTCATCGGCCCTTGTAAACCCTCGTTAAACCCGCCTTTTTCTTAAATATATTGTCGACTTTCATGCAAAAACTCACGTGGCGTCGGTTTACATTTTTACCATTGTAAATAAATTCGCAGTCTATTCATGAAACATTTAAGTATGCGAAGTATTTAACGCTGGAAGTACAATGAATCAAGCAAAGGTAAAAAACGGTTGTGAACGTCGATATTAAAACTGGTAGACGAAGAGAAAGTAAATTCGTCGAACGAAAGGACGGTGGCGTCGCGGGGACGACGGAGGCTAGGGGAGAGAAATTTCAATCACCGACAGTCAGACCGACGGCAGACGCGGCTATTATTTTTCGATCAGATTGACTGATTATATTACGCGAGACTGTTCTCTCTGTCTCTGTTCCTCTCGTTCCTTCTACCATTGCCACCCCCTCGTGACAAGTTTCAGAGCGCGCGATCGTAACTCGACAAAAAATGAAAAAAAAAAAACCGTTTCCGTCGCCGCGGAAGCAAAATCGTTATCGACTGGCAAATAGAATTTATTAAATAAGTCTGCGCGGATTTTTACGGTTCCGACTCCGCGTATCGCTGGTTTACGGCGGAATCAAGGTACTATAGGAGGAACTTTGGTCATAGCTGAAGTTCGGGTTTCGTTCTTTATCTACGTGTTTTTGCTCGTATCTTCCGATGACAATTTCTGCTGGCAAATCTTCCGAGCCAGGAAATAATAACATGTTTCTCAGGTCTCTTTTACGGCGACCAATTATTGATCGCCAGATTGCAGATTTGATGCATTCATAAAAAGATAATTTCGCACGTTTTTCATGAGAATCTCCGGTCCCCTTTGCATCGAACCACCCTCGCTCTGTTTCAGGTACTACTACGACAAGAACATCATGACGAAGGTCCACGGGAAGAGGTACGCGTACAAATTCGACTTCCAGGGCTTGGCGGCGGCGACGCAGCCGGCGGCCGCGGACCCAGCCGCGTACAAATACCAGAGCGAGCTGTTCATGTCCGGTTACGGGCACGCGAAACTGAACCTGATGCCGCCGCCGGCGGCCTCGGTGTCGGTCTCCGTTCCCGGCGGACTGTTTCAATCGGCGTCGAGCTACTGGTCCACGAGTCCCGGTGCCAACCTGTACGCGGGACACCACACGGCCTCCGGCCATGTGCCGCCTCATTTGGGCACCTATCCGCACTACGCATGACCCACCGCCGAGCACTGGGGCGCCCTGGGTACGCCACGTTAAACAAGTGAAAAGAAAATGTTTCTACTCGAGGGAATTCAAGACCGCCGCCACCGCGGTCCTCGTATGCCGTCGGCTCGTGAGTCTCGGATTCGGAACGTGCTCATTCTCTGTCCAATTCTGCGATTCACTTTCGTTACTTCTCGAGATCACAGAGTTTCAATCATTTACGATGCTTATGAATTTTATCTGCATATATGACAGTCTTTTTCTTTCCTTGGTGTTTCCTCTTCTAATGATTTCCTCTATCCAATCTTGATACTGCAATTCTCTTTCTCCTTCGATTGATTTATTAAAATCAAAATGTAAATCGCTTTATTACTTACGGTGTTTAATTTCATCAATGTCCTTGTCTTTCTTGCTACTCTGTTTTTATTTCGTCTCGTGATCGATTCTTTCTGCTCAAGTTTGATACTCCATCGATTAATTTCTTGAGATCAGAGAATATGAATCAGTCTATTACTTACGGTGCTTATTAATTATTTGCAATCTTCCTATTACATTCTCTTCTCTTGTTATCTCACTGAACACTACGCTTTTCTTTTCAATTATTCGCATCTGTTTCCTGACAGAGGACAGCGAATGACAAACGTAAAATGATGAAATGTGACCACTTACAAAATCGTTCACGGCCGACGGTACGAATTATTGTAAGAACGTTGTACATACAATATAATGGATTACGTAAGTACAGGGTACGTTCCAGACGATTCTTCTCGTTGCTCGCGTTATCTCGACAGCCTTCTTCGTTTATTCAAACTTCAACACACTCTCAGATTATAAAAATTGTTTGGTACTATTACTACGACAAGAACATCAATTTTATATATAACACTATAATCGATATAACTGGTGAAAGAAATTTAGTTGTAATCGAAGACGATCCGCGTGTCGAGAATTATCCTGTCTGGAAGGACGTCGCCTTGTACGGGAAGTAACAAAACCGGCGTCCGATGAGAAACGTTGCCGTTTCCGACTGGATGGAATCGAACATGTGCATTTCACCCGTGCAAATATGCTGACATTCATAAATTGCTCAATGATTAACTGCTGTACCTCGACTACCAGTTCTTAATTTTTCTTCGCCTAATTTTATTCGAGTCTAAAAAAATACACATTTTGTTTCGGTGCAATCTGAATATTAATCGCAGAGCGATGGGGAAAGTCGCGGGACGGCGGTTAAGGGTTGAACGTGCAAATGAATTTTACAGACGCGTGTACATGTTCGATTCGGGCCAAGAGCAATGCGTGTATTATAAACTCTTTTAACTTATTTGTTACGTAACGTGGGTATAGATAGAGGCACCGCGTGTCACGACGCGGAAAAATCGTCGCGAGTCACGCCGTGCCGCGTTGTTGGCGCGGCTTCAAGGGACCCCGCGTTCATTCAGCGACCAAAACTGCACGTGCACGTTTTTACCCTCCTCGCAGTCACGGTTTCACAACGAAAAATAACGCGCGTCTCAGCTGTGGCGAAAGACGCGAAGGGAAATTTCGACGAGAAGCAACCGTGGAGTCTAACTAGGAAATAAAGGAAATCCTTTTGAGCTTACGGAATAAATCGACACTGTCTAAATTGCAAACTGAAATCTGATCGTGGAAAATGGAAATTTTGTTAGAAACCTACAGATTTTATTAAACAGCAAATAGAAGTCTCGTCGGATCAACGGGATCTTCCGTTACTATGTTACAAAATCTCGGACGAGGAGATGGACAAACGAGCGACAAATCCCGGGTGAACGCAACGCATCCATCAATTGAACGGAAGCTCTGGTCGCAATTACCGAGATTGATAAAGTACAACGTCGAGCCATATCAAACCGAACGTACGAAATCCCGAGCCGCGTCGATTCTCGCCGGATCGGTCGAGGGACGCGGTCGCTCTGTCTATGCGAGAAACAAAATGAGAACGGGGTAAGTCTTCAAACAACGTGAAGTCGGATTCTTAAACGTTTGCGAGAGGAGGGAGGAACGTTTCACGGTGATTTACCCCGCTGTGAAAAAGGTGTACCTCTGTCGAAAGAAGCGAGTAGCTCCTTAAGTCGTATACTGTATCATACCATTCGTAAGTGCAGGTTCGCTCGTGCCCGTCGCTCACGTATTCGTTCAGTATAGACGCTGAACGCACGCCGAGATTAATATGATCATCAGAGATTGAATCTAGTTACGTTCGACTCGTTGAAACAAAGAAAACCGACGCGTGCGGCGTCTTGTACAATAAAACAGCGGGAGGGACGAGGAGACGTTCCGATCCTAAACTGAACGGACACGAGAGCGACACGCAGGAGAATACCTTAACCATCTCTAGAATTAATCTAACTAGTGGTAACAAACCTGTCGGACGCTCCTCGGTGTCGATCGTTCTCCGAGACGGGAAAACGACCCCGTCCGAGCATTTCTTCATTTTTTCTTAGAAAAAGAGAAAAAGAACAAAAAATATAAAGAAGCTGGCTCCGTGGGACGTCGACGGGATCTAATGTAGATAGGGTGTTTTCATGTGTAGCGTAGGCGTGTAGAGAAACATAGCGTTAGCGCGAGGACGTGCATTTCGGTGGGTGGGTGCCTGCGTGGGTGTGTGCGTGTGCGTGTGTGCGTGCGTCTCCTCCTGTGTTTGTATACGTTGCGTGTATCTGTGAGACGGTGAGATTGAACGAAGGAAACGAAAATCGCGTACGAGTGAACGGCGTGAATGATCGAGGCGAGTAGTGGGCGTGATTTCACACGAACTGGAACACGGGATGGTGGTGATGATGATGATGATGATAATAACGATGACGACAATGATGGATGAGAGAGGCTGGCCGAGGGGTGTTTGGCAACTAGCATAGACCGCGTTAGGCTAGGTAGATAAGCGACCCCTTCGAGGACGAGAGGAGATTTCGGGAAAAAAACATCGAGTGCGTGGAAACGGTGAAGCAGGATAAAAAATATAGGCGATAGAGTCGAGGCGAAGAGCACAGGGGGTTGAGAGAAGGGGCGCTGTTGTTGTTCTTGTTGTCGTGCGCTTGTATTAAAGTCGCCATGTTCTAATTAAACGTGCCGACGGGGTTGTATCAGTCGTCGGCAAAATCAATGTGACTCTCTCTCTCTCTCTCTCTCTCTCTCTCTCTCTCTCTTCTGTGTACGTGTACAGGCCTCTGTGCGACGAAAACCAGAGAGAAAGCTTCGCAAATATACCTTTCTTCTTCCTAGTAGTAAACGAAATTGAAAAAGAAAAGAGCGAAGGAGCAGACACAAAGGATAGCGCGGTGGAACGAGAACCGGATTGAGAGCGCCTCCATAGGGGGTGGATAAAGGACAGGGGGGAAAAGGAAGGCTGAAAATCGTAAGCAATACAGGGTAGGTCAGCCTTGGTTGTCGGCGGTTGGCGAATTGGTCGGGTTGCCATGGAGAACGGTCGGGGTATTCCCTGGATTCAGGCCCGCCCCAACGGGAAACCTCCATTCGGGAAATTCGTGGCGTCGCCGAAGCTGCCGCGGGTGCCGGAGGTTTAGCTCTGCTCGGCTAATCGATTCTGCTACCAATCAGCGCCCGCGCCGTTCCTCTTCGCGTCCTCTTTCTCATCCTCGGGTTCCTCGGTCTCCCTCGCCCTTCCGATGTTTCACCGTACCGCCGAAACCACCCTCTGTCACGGCTCCTCTACGCGCTCCACCTACGCGTGTCCTTCACGGTACCTCTTTCACCTAAGCACACGCCGCTTCCTCTGTGCGCGGTTATTATACTCGCCGACTAGGCGAGTCGGGCCTTGATAGAAGCAGGGGCTAAGAGCCAATCGACTCTTCAACCCTTTTCTTCGGCTTTCTCTTCTTTAAGGCGAAACGCTTGCTCAAAGGGTGGCGACGGGGTGATTAAAACGCGGTTAGGTCTTTGATTTTGTGTCACGGATAAGAGAAAGCGGTGGAAAATGTCGCGGTAGTACATATTTCATTTTGCATGTTTTACGTTGGGAAATATTTCGATGCAATTGAGTTTTCACATAGTATATAATTTCCTTAGTTGGTTTGAAGAGAGTTAAGAAATTCGAATAACACTCTAAATATAAATTAATTGAAATAATAAGTTTGCAAGTAATTACCTGTTAATGGCATTCCTCGCGTTCCATGATGAATCTCGCTTCCCGCGTAGAATGGAGCAGCTCACTGTCGTCTCATTTCATTTAAATTTTATCTACACACTCGTTCTATTTCTAATCATACGATCGATGCACACTTGATTTATACGCACGTAAATTAAATGGTTATTACTGGACGACGGATTCTATGCATGCACAGAAAAATTGCATTCGCAGCAAATAAGGAATGATTACTATCGACTTACAGTTATGCGCACTGAAAGCTGAATGCTTATTTCAATGTTCAAACGATAAAAGTAATGCCTATTTAAAATGCAGTTCTCTAATTGACATCACAAACGTTTTATTTTGTATGAAAACTTGCGATCTATTTACACCTTCGAACAACCGTCTCACTTTGAAACAAACACTTCCATTTTCCTACAGGTCGAGCAACATTGAGACAACAAATGTTCCTAAATAAAACCGGGAGATTTAGAAAATTTTCGTCCAATGTCGAATTTTAAATTTTCATAGGAAAAAACTTTGCACCGCGGGAAAACTGACGTCATTAAGCAATAATTATTGCAATCGAGATAATTTATGCAAAGGGAATATTTAATATTTAAATAGAGAATTGTCTCGTTTTCATACAGACTTCCAAGAGTCCTCGTTCCGGGTTAACAACAGGTAACCTGGAGAATCTCGAACTATCGTCAATGTTTATTACATCGCGAGAAAAAAAAATATACTCTCGTATTGTATTAGAGACGTAAATAGAATTTCTTGAAACTTTCGATTCACAAATACGCCAGAATGAGCACCAAACACTTATCTGCCGGTAAGATACTATTGGAAATTATATCGATAATCGAAATAAATTTGTTTTACTCATTTATGTCGTTCCATAGGATCGATGGCCCCACCCGTTGTACCTGGAAAAGTGCGCTTATATAGCATGCGATTTTGCCCGTACGCACAGAGAATTCACTTGGTACTCGATGCCAAAAATATACCGTGAGTAATTTATCTTTCTGTAAAATATTTTCTATCAATCCTATTATATTTCGCCAATGATTCCAGTCATGACGTTGTTTACGTGAATCTGACGCATAAACCCGAGTGGTTATTAGAGAAAAGCCCTTTAGGAAAAGTTCCTTGCATCGAACTAAACACAGGTGAAACGCTATACGAAAGTCTGATCATTGCTGAGTATTTGGATGATGCATATCCACAAAACAAACTGTTCCCTAAGGATCACTTAGCCAGAGCTAAAGACAAACTATTGATCAATGGATTCAACACTATTATAAACATCATGTATAAGGTATTTATTTGTATATACATTATTCACAAAAAATAAAATATTAGATGTATAAACTGTTTCTTTCAGTTGTATGCCAATAGCACTCTTGGGGACTACGTTGTTTTCGAGGAGGCACTAAAAGAATTGGAACAATTCGAGAGAGAACTCGCATCACGGAGAACGCCGTTTTTTCACGGCAATTCCCCGGGTATGGTAGACTTTATGATTTGGCCATGGTGGGAGAGATCAGAAGTGATCAAAGTTCTACGAGGAGATCAATTTTCTATACCTCGCGATAAATTCAAGAGACTGGTACGTTTACAATTACAGGTTCACTGTAATTAAGAGATCGAAATATTAATTCTACTTTTTAACTTCAGTTGGAATGGAGATCTGCAATGAAAGAAAATTCTGCTGTTCGTTCAAGTTATTTGGGCACCGAAGTGCATGCTAAATATATAGGAAGTCGTCGCGCTGGAACACCGGACTATGATTTCATCGCAGCTTAATTTAACAAGTCTTCATTCATCTCCTCTTGCCATTTATAAATTTATATATATATATATGTCGATGGCGACACTTATTAAACGTCAAAACGTTTATCAAGTGTGACTGATATAAATAGATCTGTTTTTGTTTTTTCAAACTTTTCTAACAATCATGTTTCATTATAAAAGAGCTTATTTGCATTATGCATATATATTATCATGTCAGTCTTTACGAATATGCCACTGGTCCATTATTGTATGCAATGATTTGTAAGGAACATTTATCATAAATGTTCCAGTGAAAGTGATATTATTTTTTATAAAAATATATGTTTGGAAAACAGCTTCATGATAATATACATATTGAATAACAACCGTTGCACTGACGTTATATCATTTAAAATACATACTTTAGGAATGTCTCGTTACGTTTCGAAAAATATAGAATACAACCCATAGAGCAGGAAGCATACGATCCACATAGCGAAGATCAGGCATCCTGCTACCATGAACGACTTCGTATTCTGTTTCCTTAATTTCTTTAATTTCTCCTCGGTCTTTACAAGTATCTCCTTGTACTCCTCCAGTTTGGCTTCCAGTTCCTCGCGATTCTCGGTCGTGAGCAATTTCCTCTGTATCCTTTTCTTCAGCACGTCCAGTTTGTACATCGACTCGTTCAGAGTGTTCTCCATCTCTTGTATCTGATACGTGGAACAGGCGAGTTTGAAAAATGTGAATTGCTCAGGTTAAGATACGACAATTCGTCGTGATTGATTTGGAATTCTGGAGATCTCCCCTTTTCGTATACCTTCGTCATGATGCTTTCTTCCTGCGGCATTTTGTACGTAAATATGTACACCTTTCTGTTATATTAAACGCAAACTCTTCGCATTTCAAGCAAATTCTGTGACGTTTCGAAATGTCAACGACATGTGTTCACGCCATCTTCGGAACTGTAAAATGGCTGTTCGGAATCTAACAAGTCCTCTCGCTTCGAGATAATAAATGATACGCTTGTTGTTTTGTATAATAATATCGTGGTAATTAACACAGACGGTTCGTTGTATAAATCGTGATTTTAATTTTCGTATGATCCAAGTATGTAAGAATTTTATTGCGATTTTACAAAATTATATTTATCACAAAATTATGTAAGTGTGTATATATTAAATTTCACGAGGGGATTTTTAACATAAAACTAAAATTCATAATATATATGTACATCTTACGAGTAAATGTATAGACATAATAATCGCAATCGTTACCGCTTCACTTATAGCGTAAGGAGTTGAGATTAAAAAAAAAGAGCGCTAATGAATTGTATAAGTACTACTTAAAAAAATGATTTAATCTTTTCAGTGCACGTCGTATTATACATAGAACACAAGTCTTTTTCTTCCAGTTTCACTCGTCATCTCATACATACATTGTATTTATAGTAACTCCTGTTAACTTAAATAAAATTTCTCCCTGTTTCTCACTTATCCGTTTTTTCACATATAGATAAAATTAAATCTGTAATACAAATGAAAAGAAAATAATTCATGACAGCGTCCGAACGATCAATGCGAATCAGAATTTATCAGAGGTGCGCGAAAACCCGAAAACGTCGGACCGGGTCGAGATGAGAATCTCGACATTTTCTGGAACTCCGAAATTTTCGAGAATCTGATCCGACCTATCCCGATCATCAGGTTCTCGTCCGTCTCTGCTTATCGTATCTCAATTACCTGCAAAGTGACTGTGGTAGGGAAGAAATAATGGGTCCGTATCCTTGTGAATTGTCATATAACTCGAACAAGGGCGCAGCTACCAATTTATAATTCTTAGGTACTGCGAACAGGGCTGAAAGATCAGAAAATAGTTTTAATCTCACGTGCTTCTAACGCACTAATACATTTCCAATGAGGTCAATTACCTTTCTCTTGCAACTGGACGAGGAACAACCTTTTGTGTTCTTTTGGTTTGGTGATGTGTGGCGGTACGTACGGATATTGGGGTGGTTCAAAGTTAGGTCTCCACCAGTTTCCAATGGTGTCTTCTATCACCCATTCCTGTTTAACTCCCTCCTGGCGCCCAAACGTCTAAAAGTTATTTCAATTATTATCCTACGGGTCGTTACATCCCTGTTACACTTTCATATACATTAAAATACAATCTTCTTCGTTCAGTCCACTAAGAACATGGTTACACAATTTTGATCACATATCGTATAGGGCTGTACAAATCTCATTAGCTTGGTCAACGATCATCTTGCTCAACGATTCCCTAACATGTTCCTGTTTCTTTAACTTTCACGTGACAGACCAAAAGTATTTATCGGAATACTTTCAGCTTCTTTCACTTACAGATACCTAATTAAATGAAACAGCTGTTGTACATAACATATTTATCATTTTAATCAGAAACTTGACAAATTGCGTAAATATAAAATCTGACAAGTGCCTATCTCTCATCTGAAATACCGCGGTCCTGCTCGTTCTAATTGATCTCTGGTGAAAAGCTTTCGATCTAAACTGTTATGTTCGATACAAATTTTCTTTCTTTCTTTTCAACGGATCGTAACAGAAAATGATTGACAATACATAATACAGTCTTCTTCTCATAATGTTACAATCTTCACGTCTTGCCTCTTTCACGTTTGATTCATAACATATTTCGTGTATACAACGAGCGACACAAGAACAATGTTCTTAGCTAACCATGATATGCATAATGTAACAAGTTATAATTGTATTACTATGAACATTGAAATGTCCGGGCATGCAGCGCACTAAAAAAATTCCAAATCCTACTGTAATTAAAATTCGACAGAGTTCCCTATTTTGAGCTACAGGCCCGGTTACATAAGTTCTACAAATGTCTGAAGGATTGATACAATCGATTCTTAGACAATGTTACAATCTAACATATCAAAGTGCCACTCCTAGCTACCTCGTAAGGTAGCATAAGGCGTCGTGCTAACTGTTACCTCTGTAAGGAGCCGTTTTAGGCCCTCTACCTCGTCTTCTCCTGTATTTAGTTCTCCACCAGGTCTGCAAGCCAAAATGAATAGACAAATTAAAAAGTCTGCTTCGCCTAAAAGATTCATGTTCAACGGTTAATTATGATCAGGCTGACGGTGCTTACAATTTGAAGAATGTAGTTCCCAGTTGAAGAAGGAGAACGTGTGGCAGTCCGTGTTCGTGCACCAACAAAACCCCTTCGACGCTGCGGCGCATTCCAATTTTATCAAATTCGTCTCGCATACGCTGAAACCTTGCTGGTACAGACGGATCTTTCTCGAAGAGTGGCTCTTTTGTTCCGAATGTATAGTTTGTCAAAGGATATCTATGATAAATGAGTTGTATTTCTTTGTTAGGTTCTTACTTTTTATGCAATCCTTCAGTAACTAAATCCAGATTTCTTCAACATCATTTTCACAAATAATATTACAATAGATACAATCGTTAAGATTATACAGGTACTCACAATGCACTGTGATAGTTTTGAGCATGTGATGTTGTTCCTGTTAAACCTTCCACGGTCTTTATACGGAACGAAAATATAATTTTCTCATGCAAGCAAGAGGAATAACATACACAGATTTTCAATAGAAAAATAATTAGATCCGACATTTTTAATATCCAAAGATGTATATACAGTGAACAAAAAATATATATATGTATATATATATGTATATATAAAATTATGAACGGATGGCAATCGATCAAATTTACACTTGTATGGTTTACAAAGCTCGTATACAAGTACAGTGTTGTTCAGGGTACAACGTAACAAATTAAACCTCTATCTGTATACTAAGTTTATCTATGAAAATCACATTTCCCGTGATTGCTTATTGTTAATTATTATAAAGGTACAGAATTGTCGACTATAATGAATATATACAGAGGACTGTTACTTATAACATTACATTTCACATTAGTTATAAGTCTTTGTCAAATGTAATTGTACCACTTAATATCGGTATCTATATTTGCGTGATTCATTCTATCATCACGTATACAATATGATTTATGGATTGTGAGCTTTTGATATTTTTAAGCACTGCACGATCATTGACTGATCAAGATATGAATAATTCATTGAGATGTTTGTTGTTACGCAATCGATAACATTGATCATGTTCACTTATAAATATCAAGTGATATTTTATGATCTGTTTGGAAGTGCATGAGCGTGTTACATTCTTCAGAATCCTGTCTCATTTATGAAACGTCGTTTGTAACGCATTTTGTGAGAGGTACAAATCTCAGAGTGCAATGTGCTAGATTTCTATGAACTTTATCATCTCATAATAAAAACTATTTGAAGCATTCACGATGTCTATGCACATGGGAATCTCTTAAATTAACAGCCTATTTAGACGTAGTTATGAACTAGCTGAGACAGATACACTCGTGATGATGTGAATACAAAAATATGTTCTATTGTAAGACTTATTTACATAAAACACGAAAGGCTAATTCACCGATTTAAAAAAAATACAAACATTTGAGATGTTTTACCTACAACAGCTTCTAAATCTTAGAGTACAACATATCAGACTGCATTTTTCTTTTTTACATATCTTCCTTCTGTACAAAACATCAAAATAATCTGTGATATATAAATAGAAACAATGAACAGGAATGATACAACTATTTTAATATATATGTATACGCATTACAAACCAACAGTCATGTTGCGACTGTTAAAAATATAACAAAACATGTTTTTGTCGCGCAAACATACAGTCAATGTATAAAAGAGGCCAGTGTTATATTGCATATTGGTGGCTACAACTTCTTGTAATTTTACAAATGAAAATGAAACTTGTTCTCTCTCTCTTTTTTTCTATCAATTAAAGATTCGTATTTTGCGCGGTTCAAGCACAAAATAAATGATCTGTACTTCTAAAGTATTCAGAAATTTTAAGCAAATAATCGCACTTTTCACTCCTCGAGAAAAATGCTCCGCCGCTACGAGAATTTCAAGGCGCACAGGAACGATCATAGTTGGCCACGACCGACAGAGTGAAAAGATAAATTATAGGATTGTCAAACGATCGATGAAAAAATTCGCATACAAGGTTATTGCTTAAAATCTCCGCGGTCACTTAACGAAAGGATGAACAGCCGTCTCATGGTCGTACCATGTAAGATGCATGTTTAAAGGTGTTAGGAACATAATTTATAATTGCTAGCGTCTCTTAACCGGCCATAGTTGTTCTACAGGAGAGGCAGTCAAAACATTAACTCTAAAAAATAATGTAATTTAAGACTCGTATTGATCATCACTTACAAATTAACTGTCCTGTTGATAGTTACAGACTGGTTCGCCACCACTTTTCCCTCGAACGAACTGTTACTCGCTCTTCTTGGCCACCCACTTCCTTCCCTCTTTATTTGAGTTGTTGCCATCGCCATTTTTTCACCTACGTATATCAACGCACCGCTATCTGAACGCGACAAACGTCTGCCCGCGCAATCGAACGTGTGGTGTACGTGTACTCCTTCTCCTTCTCGAATATCCCGAAACTATTTTGCAGGCCGGAACAGTGTTGCCAGATGTGTGCCTCGTACATACAACGCCCCCTTCACGACCTTATATTCTCTGGCAATCATTTTTTTAATCGGGAACTTCTCTTGATATTCATGTTTTACTTGATTTCCATGATAATTAAAGAGTAACGTAATTATGAAAGATTGAAGAGAAATAAACAAAATATGTTGTCTTCATTTGTATAATATTGGCAACAGTGAATAACAAAGGGCTCTTTGGGGTTTCCATGATCTAGCGCACGGAATGGGACGACCATTCCGGGATTCGTCACTCAAGAGCAGGAGGCGTCCGGCGTTCATTGAGAGAGAAAATTTGTTTCTCGTCGCGTTTAAATTTGTTTACGGCGTCCGTAATCAACAAATCTCGTTATGAGAGCCACCGTTTTTGCATAGTAAGTTCGGTGAGTGAATTATTCTGGTGTGCTTCTCAAAATATTATCCGACCAACAACGGTCTTTGTATTCGTACGAAAATGGCGTCGGGCAAGGCGCTACGTAAAACGTTCTTCCACTCGCCTTTGTTCTTAGCTTCGTTCTTATAAACGCAGTTTGCATTTCGTCGTGCTCGAGACGATTCGTGCACGTTTTTTCTCCTGTTAAACTCGCTTTGCCGCAAACGTCTCGTGCTTCGAAAAATAGTTGCAGGTGTCCGAGGTATTTATTTCTTTGTATACGATTTCGTGAGACTCGTAGTATCATTGACCTCCGCAGACTCGCCGGTACACGCATCGTGATTTTATACTCTAACACGGGCCGAAATATTCTCCGCGATCGATCGATACCTTCGAAAGCATATAAATCGTACCACATCACGTGATCTAGAAAATTACGTAACACGAAACGAAAATCCGTACCCTCGTGCCGTCCATGTAAAAGTAAACGGAGATTAGATGCAACACACAGAACGCGGTGAATTTTTTCGTGTAGCCAATCAAATTCAGGGCTTAAGGGTTAATAATTATTTTATAGTTACAGTTTCCATTTTGTTATAAGAGATTCATAGGTACAGTATGGAAAAAATGGTGTGTGTTGCAGGATCAATTAGGCAACTGAGTGTGTGTTAGGTGTCAAGAGTCTCAGGTATCGGCATCGTCAAAGTGGACTTTAGTACAATGACACGGTGCAGTTGACTCCTTTTCCACTTCTCCATTTTATTATCCTTCGCTGATGGACTGTTCGCTGCTTGGTCATCTTTGTTCTCATCAGCTTCTTATCTTTCATCGTACATTTTAACTGAGGGTGAAGAAGGAAGAGATTTCTGAAGTGTCTAAAGCCGAAGGTAATGATCATAAGTAACGTAATAAAATCTAGCTCATAATACAGCGGAAGGGGAAGTGTTGTGATTTTACTACAGGCTCGTTTAGTTCCTCGTTATCTTGGAACGTTCCGAGATGCCCGTTGAGAGCTAAACCACCGTTTCGTGTTTATCTTTTATCCGATATATTCTTTCTTTTCTTTTCATTATATACATATTTCTGCTATTCATGGCAAATGGTAAGTAGATAGTTAAGAAGTGGGAATAATAAAGAGACCATGATCAAACATTTTCTATGCAGGAACGGAGAACAATCTGTCTACTTGCATGACTTGCCTTTAACATGCTCTTCATTTTATTAAGCACATCGATTATTACACGCATCCTCATACTACGAACTTAATAAAATTTTAAAGCTTATTAAGTCTTATAAACTATCGTTGAGTTAGAAAAAATAAGATTCTCAGAAAGCTGCAAAAGCAGGCATTTGTACTGTGTTAAAAACTCGTAACTAGTAGGTCACGGTCATGATTTTTGCTGATAAACTAAACTATAAATATAAATTCATCGCCGGCGATATTATAATTGAATTCTAAAAATTTTCATTTCGTTAACGTTTATGCCCGTACAATGCGATACGTATCTATTTGATTCATTTCTCACGCAATGAAAGAAGGTAAGTTTATTTAAAACCGCAGAGAAGGTTTGCACAAGCAAAGCGTCTTTTGCAAGTTTCAAGTTAAATTCGTTCGATTAAACGTCTACAATGCGATTACTTCGATTAAACATTTATGATGCGACTGCTTAAAATTGATTAGTACAGGATTAAGAAATTTCGAACAGCGTATCAGCAATACAAAATAACAAACTTCATTTTTTCGGAAAGAATAATTGCTCGGCGCAGATCGCAGATTGTATTTAATCATTTCGTTGAATGATAAAAATACAAGAGAAGGAGCGAAAATAACCGGAGTGGGATATGTCTGCTGGGTCTCCCTCCCGATTCTTCTTCGCTGTGAAGTGCATTTCTGTGACAAGGTCCTTGAGAGCTGGGAGTCATCACCTTCTAATTCGCGTGCATTTTCGTTGCATGCTCTGCGTGGACACAGTGGTCGACGATATACTCTGCGTACTTCTAGACAATCTTCTTCCGGTCGCATACTTACGCATTGCACCCGCCCAAGTGTAATCGGCATAAATGACATATATTGAATCACCGAACGATAAACGTATCGATAACAACGTAAGCCTTTATCAACGCGACGTCAACTTTCAGCCTTACGCATTCGCGCTAACTCCAGTTAAATTGCTAATAATAAAGGAAACGTAAAAATAGCCATTCCATAAATAAAACTTTACCTCTAAACGTAAAACGTAAAAGTTGCTGATTCGACAGACTCAATTTATGGCGGTTCTGTTTTATTTTATTGTTAGTATGATTGTTTTGCTACGCAAGAGACGCGTGTTTAATTCTGATGGCTCAGCGACGGAGAAACCGATAATCGCACGGACGATGGCAATCATTTACCTTCTGCCCTACGCCACAGTATGTCGTGTCGCATAATCAGATCGTCCACACGAAACAGTTTTACCACTGTTGCTTCAACGATCTTATCGACGCTTTTAATAGTTTCGACCACGGAACAAGTTTTTTTTTACGTGGTCTCCTTTTTCACGATGTTCGAAGCTCTTTTCATTTTATTTAGCACGAAAGGTATCTATTAAATTCGATGTATATTTCAACGCATGATTTATACTCGTGTGTTGGCCTCGGAACTAAGCATCATTTTTATGGAACTTCGTATTAAGTGCGTGGAAATTAAAATTAAATGTGATCAACGTAAAAACTGATAAAGTTCTTATGACGTGAAGTACATTTAGGGATAGGATGATCATGAGAGATAGAGATAAAGAGATTCGCTTGGTTGTTACGGATTTAGATTTATTATTAAAAATTGAATGGATGTCTCTTTGTCTATATCTCTTTTTCAATACGTTTCCGTCTGTATTCTGTGCTGAATTATAAAATCTAGTTTGGATACTGGGATCTCGGATCGACACTTGGACCTCCTGTCCCTTCCTCCTATAAATTTTCATCATAGAAGAAAAAGAAAATAGAAAGTATATATGTTTTTGATACCTTGGAACGCTGAGATTCAAGATCTCCTCCTTGGTTGGATCGAAGTACCGCTGTAATATATTCTACAACCGTGATAAGAACTAATCGGAGTCGGAAAATTCTGTAGAAGTTAATACTCGTTTTTCCTTATGTTAAGCCTCCGATTTGAGCATATCTGGCGTGTAGAGTTTTTACGTTCAAGATCCAAGCGTCCTCAGTCCTTGTCTCAAACAGGAACAGATTTTTAAATAAGAATACTCTCCTCGGGGAATGAACCTTGACTCCACCTTAAAAGATTTTAACACAGTATTCTACTTGTCCAACTCGTTTGAATGGATCGCAGTTATGCTGTTCGTTTTGCCGTGAATGTTAGCGACGTGTTTTGCGTTGGACGACACAGGAAGAGCCTCGCGTTGATTCAACGACACAAGAAACGCCTGGCCCTTCATACGTTCTCTGCGAGTGCTGTCGAACTTCGTGCAGAGTCTGAGCACTCGAATCGAGACTGTGTTTACAAAGAGAGAATATCTCTAAACGATCATCGTCGGATTCGAGGAGTTTGGAACGCTTAACCGGCGCGTCGTCGTGAGAAACGAAAGCGAAAAGGCAGGGAAAGAGGAAAGTTTCTAAATGCGCGTTCATCGTCCGCCTCGAGTCTTCTTCTTTATGGCATCATCGACGCGTATTGCTGTTGGAACGGAAGCTGAAATGGATTCTTGGTGATTTACGCCCACACACAGTTAATTATTTTTCATCGATCTGCATCGACCACGATCATCGTGATTCGACGTCGATCGTCGTTCAGTCCTGATGACAGTCAGCATATAACGAACATGCTTCGAGTTTGTCTGCAAATTTTTACTGAAAGCTGTTCTACTTATTGTTCTACTAATATGAATTATTATTAATTTATATGAATTTAGAGGTCCGAATCATTTTTTAAATTGTTTGGGCCTTTACGGTTTTAAGATTGGAGATAGTCTTATTTAAAATCATTTCATCGATATTAATGTCTTAATCCTTCAATCTTTATAGACAGTTGTTACGGAGTACATCAAAAATTGTTTTTATTTGGAAGTATTTGTATTTTAAAAATTGAAGGTTTAAGCTGATGTCCCTCGACACCGAGTCTTCTATATGAGCTTGGCATTTGAGAACAATTAAATTACTTTGAGAATAAACACTGTTTCTGTCGCTAACAATGGAGATAGCTGTACTAAACTTGTTTTCGGATTACTAAAACATAAAATAATTAGACTGAAGAATCACGTTTGAAAATTACGTTTGCGCTATCAGAATCTGCGGAGGGTCTGTCCTATTTTTAGTCCGTCGTCTGACTGACTCCTGAGAACGAAGAAACGACGTTACGAAAGGGTAATTAAATCTGAATCTGATCGTGGCTGCTGTTGATAAAAAAACAGTACATTTATATTTAACTGCAATCAACGTCTGGTTCAGTGATTAAAGAAATGCTGTCAATTCTTATAAACTTTTCCTTTAATCTATATTTTACAGAAAACTTCGTTTCTGCTTTAATATTTTACACCATGATTTATTGATAACGAAATAATGATTTTGGAACTCTGTGCCTATGTTTAGCCACGGAAGTGATGTCCTACGTCTCTTCGTGTGATATTTGCGAAAGCACGTTTATTACTCGACGAGGGATACGTTTACGAATTTCTAGTCGGGGAATGGGATCCTCTAAAATGATAAATGCTTCCGGTACACGTGTTCGGAACTCTGTATACAACATGCGAATTGTATAAGCACTGGGTCATTCCATGCATGGAATACATGCCTGCCGTTTCACTATTGACCAGCGATAATTATTAATAGTTGTTGCTCGACGAAGACGCATTCTATATAGCAATTGAAAATAATATCTTCGTTAATGATATAAAAAAATGCAAGTCTAAAATAGAAGAAATACGAAGAACTCTTTTCGATGGACTTCTTTAAAAAGTACAACGTGAAACGCAATACTTATGTATTGTATCATAAGTATTGATATAACAGGTTTTGGGTTCTTATTTAATTAGGATCGGCGACGAGTTTCGAAGCGTTTACACGTTGTGGAATAGCGTGAATAGAAAACGGTGTCTTCAGGATCTTTTATTCATTACACGGTTCCAACGATTACTAATCGTGGTCTGAATCGATCGAGGAGAGAGTCCCGCGGGATCTCCGGGAAACCGCATGATCGCAACGAGCCACGATAAGAGTACCTGGGAACGATCTTCGCGATCGAGGTCGTGAGCAATTACGAGTTCGTGTCGGTGTTAGAAACGATTCTCCGTTTCCGGAATGAATTACTTGGAACTGGGACGCGCGACTTCGAGCCACGTAAGCCGTAAAAATAAGGCGTGCGATAAAAACCATGTCTTACAATTTATATGCAAAAAGTAACACATTTCCCTTTATGGATTTTGTTGTTATCAAAATGAAGAAACCAGTTCTGACCAAAGTAGAACAACGCACGTTGACGCAATGAAGCTATGCTGATTTTAATAAGTTTTAGCCATCGTGACTATTTTTTAATAATAATCTGATTTTATTCTTTTTTTTTTCATTATTATACTTCATTGTCATTATCTATAAATAATTTCTGTGTTTGATATTATCTACGAGGTGAAGCGAGAATTCAAAGATTTAAACGAATACTTTTCCCGATGATCATCGGAAATGGCAAATTTAAACTCCATTAGTGCGATCAGACAAGAGGCTGCGAATCTGGATAGACAATTAAGTAGAAGAGATAAGATCTTCGACGTTTGTTCGGGAGCTTATGAGATTTACGTTCCTGTTTCCTCGTACTCGGATCGAATCGCGTTCTGCACGTCTGTTACGCTTCCACATATTCTGCGAATAATATCCGCCGTTCCTAAGTCCTTCGTTGGATTCTGTTCATTTCTGGTGGTTTGGGAATGAATCTGCTTCATTGAAATCTAATCAGGAAAATTCGTACTGTCTGTCTCGAAGCTTAAATAAATTCTGATCACTCCGTTAATTCCGAAAATCAAAGATTTTAGACGAAGTTAATTAGCTCCTTTAATCAATGGAATTCTTAAACTCTACGATGTTTGGCTGTAATTATGCATAGATTGAAACACGATTTCTTAATCTTTTTCGATTAATAAGAAAGTTATGTTATATTTAATCGTAACTCTGCGTACGTAGTCGTATTCAACGTTGTATCAAATGTACACAAAATACATTTGTTAGCGGCGAGTTCTTAAGGACGATTGCACGTGTCAACACATAGGGCATGCCTAGCGGCCTAGTTTGTAATAGTCGCCGATACTCTGTGTCTATCAAAGAGCAGGTACATAGTTAGCAGACGATTACTGGTAGAAGTGCGGAGAGTTCTGAGAGTCGCGGATGCCTCGGACCCAAGGGATACTTCGTTGCCCATCAAAAGGATCCTTGTCACGGCCGATGCCTTGAAGACATGGTGCCGCATGACACTTGTTTATCATGTCTATCATAAGGGTGTTTCGAGGATCTCATAGTGTGGGGAAGGAGTCGAGACCTTCTGTCTTTGGAGAGACTATGAAGAACAGCATAGCACTTATCCCAGAATCTGTGGACGAATCACTACGAAATTTAACACGTTAGTAGAGTTAGCGTGTGTATCGTCAAGGGGAAATAAAATGAAGTAAAAAAAGATGTGATATATCAGTTTTATTTCTTGAGATCCCAGTCCAGACTGCGAGAATAATTTTTGCGCCAGCTTTATCTTCGGATTGTGTTTCCATCCTCCGTTTAATTGGACTCCTTCGGCTCGGTTGCAGATCTCTTGAAAATGAGCGTGATAATCAGACTACAGAATTTGGCGTGGTCCGCCAACGCTTTGGACATTCGCCAATTTTTCAGAGGGTTGAGCATTCCGGAAGGAGGTGTGCACATCGTCGGCGGTGAGCTGGGCGATGCATTCATCGCTTTCAGGTAAGAGAAGAAATTTTCTGTTTTATTTTTTATTTTATCTTCTACGTTCGCTGCGTTAATTTAATTTTAAATCGACAATTGTACGCGTCGATAATGATTTACGTGCAAGAGAGAACAATTTCGGATCAACAAGATTTTCATAAACACGAGATAAAGATTTTTTTTAAGAAGTAACACAAGAAATATTAAAAACCTGCGGGATAACTTATACAACGAAACTGGACTTGAAACTTGCAGCACCGACGAGGATGCCCGCCAAGCTATGATGCACGACGGCGGCAAGATCAAGGAGATGAAGATCAAGCTGCTGCTTAGCTCGCGCGCGGAGATGCAAAAAGTAATCGAGGCGGCAAGGCAGCAAACGTTGAGCCTTCAATCCTTCATGCAAACAGCGCCGGTCGTCCCGCCAGTGGTTCCGAAGCCGGGATCGCCCGGGGACCGAAGGGATAAGGAGAAAGATAACGACAGCGAGTCGGGCAAGGATCGAAAGGACAGGCGGGACAGATCCCGCTCCAGAGACAGATCTCGGTCCCGCGACAGAGACAGGGACAGGGACAGGAGGGACAGAGACAGAGGTCGAGACCGTAGACGTAGAGACAGAAGCAGATCGCGAGACAGGGAGAGGGACAGGAGAGACAGACGACGTCGACGCGATCGATCCAGGTCCCGGGATCGTACTCGGTCCAGGGACAGGGACACCAAACGTAATTCCACGGGAGAGCGTCGTAAAGATGGTAACGAGGATGACAACAGCGACGTCGTTTGCGTGGGTCTTTTTCACAAAGACAAACCAGCGGCTGGTGCCAAGAAACCGTTAGAGAACGGAATTTGGGAGGTCCCACCTCAGACACAGATGCAGGCAGCCATGCTGGCGCCTAGTATTCTAGGTGCCGGTGTCGCTGCATTGTCACAGGACGGCGAGCAACGCGCAATGACTTTCGGCGGCTCGGTGATCGGCCAGCAATCTATGCTGCAACAAAGCCAATTTCCTATCAATGGAGTCAACGGTGTGGGAAGTTTGATGCAGGCGCATATACCAGCGTTGGGCATAGCGCCGTTATCTCAAAGCGTCAGTAGCTCGAATTTGCCTAGTTTGACCAGCGGACTGAACAGAACAAAGGAACCTTGGAACCAGGGTGAGCAAGGAAGGATGGACCAAGTCAGGTTCCCTGGCAGATCTGGCCAGTTTGCCGCGGACATGTACGGTGCGAATGGTTCTATGAACTTCAGACCTGGTGTTAGACCGAACAATCCTTTCTTAACTAAAGTACAAGAATTGGAGGGTCGTCGCAATCCGCACGCGTTCAGTTTCGACAGTGACAGACCAGGGAGTCGAAACTCTGCGAACAACTCGAGGTTCTCGAACGACAATAAGAACAGTGGCGGGCTGTGCGTAGAAGTTCGTAACATGCCATCGAGTGCCACTCACAATGACGTTCGCCACGCGTTCCAGGGTATTTACATAAGAAAAGACGGATTGAAATTGATAAACGACAATCACGGGAACCGAGTAGGCATCGCTTACGTGAAGTTCACTAAACCCGAAGGTAAAGAAGTCGCTCTGAGCACGACCAGATACGTTAGAGGATCCGAAGTGGAAGTTCTGCATTTGGAAGAAAGTATCTTCGAAAAGGCGGTGGACTCTTATTCCCCTGAAAAGGAAAGGGATGACGGAAGGGACGAAGACGCCCGGTCTTCCGCCTGTATTTTACTCACCGATTTGCCGTCCTTCACTAAGGAGATGGACATCGCGAAATTGTTCCACGACTGGAAGATCAACGACCTGTTCATCATCAGCACCAAGGATTCTGGCAACGTACAGGCATACGTCCAATTCGCCAGACTAGAAGACGCGAAAGCTTCCGTGAGCACATCGTTGAAAATCGGCAACAAACCCGTGAGCGCGTCTGCGATCAGCGAGGAGAAGTTTGCCCAGGCGAAACGCGATCACGAACAGAATCAGACTACCAGTTCGGACTGCGTCATCATGCGGGGACTTCCGTTCCAAACGATCGACCGTGACATCTTAGATTTCTTCTCAGACATCGGCATAGTACCTCATAGGATACACATGTTACTCAATCAAAATGGAAAACCGGCCGGGGAATGTTTCTGCGAGTTCGACAGCGCGGACGAAGCTCTCCGAGCAACTGCCAAGAACGGTCTACCCTTTGGGAAAAACGTACCGACCATAGAGCTGGTTCCAAGAGCTAAGATGCTAGAGACTTTGGGAATGGTGGACCCACAAATGTTGGAGACGCAACAGCAACACTTCCCGACGCTTCAGGACCCACGGCCACGATTCTCCGGACCTATGAATCATCTGCCGCGGTTCGGGAACTCCGGATTCAGTCCCAGATGTCCGCCCGGTCTGATGGGAATACCTAGACACATGCTGGGTCGACACCCAGGATCCATGGACTACGTGGAGGGCTTCGGTAAACCTGGTTGCGTCCTGTCTTTAGAGAACGTCCCGTTCAAAGCAGACATCAACGAGATTATCGAGTTCTTCGGCGATTTCGACGTGAAAAGGGAAAACGTGATTCGTCGGTACAACGAGAGGGGAATGCCAACGGGCGACGCCAGGGTGGCCTTTGCTTCGCCCGGCGAGGCTCAAAGAGCTTTGAGAGAGTTGAAGCACTGTAAAATGAGGGATCGTACGATATACATGAAACTCGCGTGAACGCGGACGACGGATCGGTCGAGTTCAGAATTCGGTCCTGAAAATCGGTCTTCGAAAGTATCGAACGGCAGGTCTAAGTGATCGATAGTGATGAACTCATTCGTCGCTCTGAATTAGGCATTGCCTCCTTATAAACTAGGCAAACGTTATACGTAAAACGTTTGTGATCAAGTTATAAAGGTGATAGAACGAACGGCTCATGACTTATAACGGGGCAATGCCGTATTTAATTCCAATGGGAGCAATATGAATATGTTCTGAACGATCAGACCGGGAATGGAAGAACTGAGAAGAGTAGAAGAGATGCTTCCTTCTCGCTTATACAGTGAAGTCTAGAAAGATGGATTTACTCGAACGAAGAACTGAACTATCTTATAAAACGAAGTTTCATTCGGGTGAAATATTACTATCGAGACTTCACTGTATGGTGAGTGTAAAAGGAAATGATTTAGTTTTTGTATATAAACTATGATTTAAGTATCATGACTTGACGATCGTTTATATGATTTATAGAGATATATTTTCCTTCGCATGAATGTTGTTTATTTTATAACGAAAAGGAACGGTTCGCAGAAATTTATTTTTAGGAGTAACTGAGCAGGTGCAATTATTCTCGACTTCTCCTCGGGGAACTTTTCCTTTCGTTTTCATTTTCATTTCGTTTTATTACGTTTTACCGCATTAAACTGGAACTAAAGTTTTTGTTTCTCACGTCCACTGATTAATGATTAAAAACTGTAAATATAAAATAAGTCTAGTGTATCATTTTCAACGTCATCGTGATTTTCTTTATTCCTATTTCGAGCATCTAACGTTACCGAAGATTTGTACATGTTCTCATGTAGTTATTGCAAAATGCAGCGCAATAATGAGTACGATAAAAGACTTTTATGTTTTAAATCGATCGAGAACCACCTGATGCTCATTCATGATTTTTAAAGACTTCGTAATGTCACAGACGGGTGTGTAATAAAGTACAAAATCCGAGTGTGAAGGATTTAACTCTGTATAAAAAGTAAATACGAGAAAAACGATTCGTTTTACATTTCACATTTTTTACAAACGCAGTCGTATATGTACGTTTACATATCCACGACTCCATCGAATTGTATATAGTCTATATACATAAGCGTCATAAACAAATATGATTTAGTTTACATAGATGTATGATAAATATTTGTACGGCGAGATTATTGACCAGCTAGAGGTGTACTTAAATTGTTCGGTTTGCCGTATGTTTCTGTTTAATATAAGCACTTTAAGACTTCAATAAATTTATATTTACAGCAATAAACAGTATTTTCGATTATTTATCGATCATCCACGGTCAGTCAATAAGAATAGTTATGAAAAATTTTTTATTTTATGAAATTTTAGATGATTTTATTAATTCATATAATTATTTGTTAACCAGCTAGACGCGTTCTTTTCAAAAAGTGGGTAAGTACCATGCTGTTTCTCACCGTCCTCTTACCAGAAGGGACCCTTGCCTTCCCGACTCCGTGGCCAGATCCTTAAGAACAATATCTTTGTTGGTTAGTGCTAGGCTGCGTTCAGCTGTTTTATCTTTCCTAACTGTTTTCACCTTTCCTCATGATCTACGTATTTTATGGCCCTCGATGGCCGCGTGACTTCGGGCCTCCAGCCATTTGGACGCCACCCTTGTAAAGCCTCTTAAGGCCGATGCAAGCTGGGTCCCTATCGTAAAACAATTTAAAAGAAACGAGGAATCCCGGGTTAACTGTCCTTGACAACTATTAAAAATAAGCTGCTGCTAACATATTTTTATTGACCGATTTATACGACATATAAAAAGTTGCGTGTACATCGGAATATTTAAATGATCAGTGAAATATCTGTGTACATTTTCCGTGTTGCATGTTTCACTTTGCATAAAATGTGCGGCGATAAGTCATGAAAGCACAGAGTGGAACTGACCCAGACACGCAGAACCTTTCGAAAGGGGAGTAGCCGCGGTTATCGGGTAGCGGCTCATCGATTTTTGATCGCTGAGAGCGGGTTATTCATGCTAAACGTACTGTGGCAAATCAGCGGTGCCTAAATATTGAGTCACGTGCTATTTCTGTAGCCGTTCTCCTCGCCCGAGCTCAAAGTACTTACATACAACCGAGCGTGTACGCGCTACAGAAATGATTCGTGCTCCGCCCGGTGAACGTGACAACGCCACTAACGAGTCGAACAATGCCTCGATCACGATAAAACGAACGAGTAAAGTAAACAGACAACCGTGACTACTAAGCTTCTTTTTCCACAATCAGTTCCTGATTTAGGCTGCGTTCAGCTGTTTTATCTTTCCTAACTGTTTTCACCTTTCCTCATGATCTACGTATTTTATGGCCCTCGATGGCCGCGTGACTTCGGGCCTCCAGCCATTTGGACGCCACCCTTGTAAAGCCTCTTAAGGCCGATGCAAGCTGGGTCCCTATCGTAAAACAATTTAAAAGAAACGAGGAATCCCGGGTTAACTGTCCTTGACAACTATTAAAAATAAGCTGCTGCTAACATATTTTTATTGACCGATTTATACGACATATAAAAAGTTGCGTGTACATCGGAATATTTAAATGATCAGTGAAATATCTGTGTACATTTTCCGTGTTGCATGTTTCACTTTGCATAAAATGTGCGGCGATAAGTCATGAAAGCACAGAGTGGAACTGACCCAGACACGCAGAACCTTTCGAAAGGGGAGTAGCCGCGGTTATCGGGTAGCGGCTCATCGATTTTTGATCGCTGAGAGCGGGTTATTCATGCTAAACGTACTGTGGCAAATCAGCGGTGCCTAAATATTGAGTCACGTGCTATTTCTGTAGCCGTTCTCCTCGCCCGAGCTCAAAGTACTTACATACAACCGAGCGTGTACGCGCTACAGAAATGATTCGTGCTCCGCCCGGTGAACGTGACAACGCCACTAACGAGTCGAACAATGCCTCGATCACGATAAAACGAACGAGTAAAGTAAACAGACAACCGTGACTACTAAGCTTCTTTTTCCACAATCAGTTCCTGATCCCATTCTCTATTGACATTTAGAGTTATAATGGACCGTCGATTATCGAGACTAACAAGGAGCCGTGGTCGAATAAATAATGATAGAAATTTTGGGTAACAGACAGTTCTTATCGCGTGAAACTTCAATTGTTTTTTATTTAATACCCCATCAGTTCTTCATCGAAGCGAACTCGTAATTCCACGAGACCCCGCATCTTTAATTACTCTCATTTTTTAGCAGCTGATCTCTGCGAAATCCTATAGAGCGAACAGTCGTTCTTTGTAGAATGTTTACTCACAATCAGACGTGCTTCAGGATTTTTATCACGTCTACGCGGTCCACGCTATTGACTCGTCCTGCGGAAGTCGCGTACGATGTACGCTGGCTACAAAATTATTTACGCTTTAATCAACTGTGAACGATATTAAAAAATTGTAAAGTAAGAATATGAGATTTGATCGAATGTATGAATTTATTAAATCTGACCGTGTTTTATGGGACACAGTAAGTATTTCGTTGTTCGCCCACGCCGTTCTATGAATTTATGTTCATTGTTAAATACGTACGTTTATGTAACGCGTTTCGGTATTATCGGCGCGGCTTGACGAGGGACGTATATATCATCTACCGAGCTAATCGCGCGTGAAACATTTAGTCGTTTGCTTTACAATGGGCATGCAGATTTTTCTTTATTCCTTTTTTTTTTCCTCTTAATAGACTCGAGATGCGCAGCGAGTTACATGGTAAGTATATAAAACTAGTTATTTCCATTCTAATCGATCTGACATATTTCTTGAGAAACGTCAATGAGACTGTCAATAACGATAACGATCTTTGAACGATAGCTTCGACAATTTTAGAGCTCTACGCCTACTTTTCACGTTTCCAGCGTTAAGGAATTGTGATTAGCATACAAAGAATGCAAAGGTGAACGAAGTAACCTTCGGCAAATTAAAATTCAAATTGGTTGACCCAACGCGAGGCAACGTTACAAAATTCAGTAAATAATTCAACGAATATCTCGACCTTTTCGTGGTACTATTATAACATTTGATCTTCTATTTCCCACGTCCATCATCGACCGCGACAAAATGCCCTAATTTACATCATAATTACATGATCGACAGAGGAAACTGGTCATTAACCTTGTTCGATTTACGATATACAAAGCGGGCTTAAATTCATCATTTCCGAAACGGATTCGTTTCCAACGTGCTGCCATTGTTCAGTGAATAAATAGAGTCCTTGGATACAATCGAAAATCTGTTTTTCTGTATACGTATTTCAATCCCTAAACACATAAAAGTCTTCAAACGATAGCAGATTTTTAGGAAAAATGAAATAATTATATGGTGTCAGCTTGAAAATGTTTTTTATTATTGCATATCTAATTTGCTTTCGATATTTTATGTAGTTTTACGTATTTATATTTCTTGTACAATCAATTTCCTTATCAGAGATGTGACACGTGTCAGAAAGTGACATCAGCATCGATTCATCGCAGAACGTCTTCGTTCGGACGTGATTTTTATGCCCCTCGCCGCGGAACTGATTCATTTTCTGTTCGCTAACTAAGTAGCTTCGGTTCCTTCGCATCGCTTGATACTTTGAAACCGAGGGAAACCCGAATGAAATTTCGCGGTGGAAGGTTCGTCCGATGACCACGGTCTCCCTTTGTGGTTGCTCGAGGACGCGTTGAAATAGAGCTGGCAGACAAAGAACGGAAGTCTCGCAGCCGTGACGAACGAGTCCGTAAATTCTAGCCGCCTAAAAACTGGGCCCTCAATACCCGAGACGGAAACTTTTCTTCAACTTCCTCGACGCGGTTTATTTTCCGCGGGGGTAACGAAACGCGCGAGCCTCTTCAACGAGAAGTGGTTCTGATTTTATATTTTATATTCTTATTTCAAGCACTGTCCGTATTTTCGATTAATTAATTAAACGAACGTGATTGGTGACACGGAAGAGGAATCATTCTATTCTATATCTGCATATTTTGTAGACGATACGTCGGATAAAAATTGGAATTGACGATGCGTTCTCCTATATTCGTGAATCAATCTGACCGAGTTGTGAGTAAGAACAACGGATGCGATCATTTCCAAGAATACTACGACTCCTCTCTGGAAATAATCACGAGATGATTGATGGAACTTGAAACTACAGAAAGATGAAGAATCAGGACGATGTGTTACGAACAGGTAGCTAATTGATAGCACAGATTTATGATAACTCGATAGCATTTGCAAAACACATACGATTTTAATACAAGTTAAACTAAACAATAGTTAAAATTTCGAACTTTCATTTTCCGTAAAGAAAATATA